AAAAGTTTCATTTGTAGACATTAATATGAAAAATATCATAATAATGGAGATTAAAGAAAGTTTATGAACCATATTGGCCATGAGAATTTGAATAATAATATGTTAATTAAGAAGTAGAGAAGAAGAAAGTTGATTGAAAAATGTGTATTTTGTTGTGTATGAGGGATATGTATTTATAGGTATCATGATTTACTATATATGGAAAATAATTTATTAAAATCAGACTGGACCAGATTATGAGAAGTATAATGAAAAGAAGATTGTCTTACCAAAAAATAAAAAAGATAAATATTTTACCAAAAAAGAAAATGAAAAGAATATTTTTGTGCATATTAAGGGCCGGAGCCAGCTTGTGGTCAAGAGGTCATCTAAATTCTTTTTGACGAAATATTGTACTATATACCGTGATCATTTAAATAGGGCAATTTTTTCGTGTATGATTAAGGGGCGGAGCCAACTTATGGTCAAGGGGTTCATTTGAACTTCTTTTGACAGAAATTGTATTATATATATATATATATATATATATATATATATATATACTCACGGTTAAAATTATTTTTATCTACTTATAATGTATGTCAAATTTACTTCTTTAGAATTTGAACCCCTTAATGAAAATTTTGTTTCCGCCACGGTAGATTAACAACAACAACATACAAAGTATAGTAATTTCATAAGTGGATTTGAGGAGAATATTGTGTATGCAAAGTACCATAACTCTATCGTGTGAAGAAAAAATAAGATATTGCCGATTGACCCTCAGATCAAGTAAAGCATTACAAAATATGTCAAAAATAATGGAAAAAAATTAAGTAACAGTAAATAATAGATAACGGAAGCAAATGAAAAAACATGTAATAATAAATGATAGTATATAATTATTTTTAAAAAAAAGGGATACTAAAATAGTAAAATAATAATTTCCGTGCATGATTAATGCCAATACTTAGGAGAAATACGAGGGAGGATATTGTACGTACAATAAATTCCAATATAAATAAAAATTCAAAGGGCAACTTGAACCACAATTTATTAATCTGAAACACCTCAAGTTGAACATGTCACACACACAACTAACTTTTATTAATAGTAACATATCAAAATTAAATTTCACATAATTTCAATCGATGTAAATCGCTTTCAGTTGAAGAGGAAAATTTCAATTTCAATCGATAGGTTATAGCTTTTTGCCGAGAGGTGGTGATTTCTTGTGACCCTTATTAGGGGTGTACAAAACTGAACCGAAAATTGAACCAAATCTCAAATCGAGTCAAACCGAAAAAAAAATTCGATTAGTGATTTGGTTTGACTTGGTTTGGTATTGGAAAAAAAAACCCGACTATATTTGGGTTGGTTTGGTTTTAACTAAAAAAAACCAACCCGAGACCAAACCAACCCGACATTATATATGTAATTTTAAAATTTTATTTTATATATAAAAATATTTACTTTGATATAATTTTAAAATATTTCTTATACTATTTCATAGTTTTTTATCTTTTAATATATTATTTCAAGTTTAAAACTTAGAATTCGGAATGGTCCAATATAAATTATAGTTCATAGATGTTGATAATTATAATAAAACTTAAAAATCAAATTAATACCAATGCAAAAAGAAAATCAATTCAACACTAAGATTAATGACAATAATATTGAATATTTGTTCTTTAGTTTTACATTAGTTTAGACAATTAAAATACATAATCTAATTTAATTTTCCTTAAATATTTAGTAATGTAACTAATACGTATTAAACTTATTTTAGCATGATTTAGTACTTTTAAATTATGATCATTTTCATTATGACTTTGCAATATTTATTTTATATGATGATTTCATTATTATTTTTTATTGAATATTTTAGTGTCATCAGTACTCATCTCATATTTTGTGTTATTTTCTTAAGAAACACCTTAGATAATTGTATTTTGGTTGGACTAAAGAAATATTTGGAGCGCAAGTTAATTATATGTTTGCATGCAAACTTTACGAAAAAATCCAAAAATCTAAAAAAATCCGAGGTTTATTAGTTTGGTTTGATTTATAAATTTAAAAATTCGACACAATGGTTTGGTTTGGTATTTGAAAAACCCGAACCAACCCGAGGTTGAAAAACCCAAAAAAATCCAAATTTTATTAGTTTGGTTTGGTTTATAAATTTAATTTTTTTACACAAATGGTTTGATTTGATATTTGAAAAACCCGAACCAACCCGGATGGTGGAACTATACTTTTCAGAACACGACGATCATTACCAATATTGCCATTGCTAATTTTCCAATTGTTTTTTTTCCATTGGAAATATATTTGTACCGTGAGTTCTTGCTGAAAAACTCTCATTTGTAACTATTAATATGAAAATTATCATAATAATGGAGATTAAAGAAAGCGTATAAACCATATTGGCCATAAGAATTTGAAAAACAATATGTTAATTAAGGAGTGGTAGAAGAATAAAGTTGATAGAAAAAATTGTGTGTTTTGGTGTATGGATGTAACAACCCATTTTATCATTTTGAGTATTAGAGCTTTTATTGTATAAAATACTCTTCCGATATATTTTAAATGAGTGTTTTGGACTATTCGTAACTACAATTATGATATTAGTGGGGTAGTTTTTATAATTAGGTTACTTGGTGGTTATAGAAGATAGCATTAAAACAAATAGTGGACCACTTCTACCACCCCATATTTAGGCTTAATAATAATTAGGGATTTCCATCGTGAGTTAGAAACTCAACAAAACTTCCACTACAGCGATACAAATTGCAGAGAGGCCGACGAGTACTTCAGGTAAATCCAATATCCAATATGTATTTGGTGAACATGAACAAAGGTTTTATGATTATTATTAGATTATCGTTATTAGACTAGAATTTGAAGAGAACGAGTTCTCAGTGGTAGTATTAGGTTGACTTCTGATGATTAATGGCGATAGGTGGTTGAATTGTGATTAATTTCTGAGTGGTGGTGTAAGGAAATTATGTAGTGCAAGAGTAATAATATGGATTTGTATTTTCATTAAACTGTAAAGGAAATTATGGGTAGTGATTATTGTTGCTTTGTGTTGAATAATTGGGTGAAAACTTCGGTGGAGACAAACTTGTCTCTCTGTTCATTATTTAATTAAATTATTGTTAAGTACTAAAACCATAGATGGCAAATTATTATCTATTGAATTTAGCGAGTGGATTGCAGGCGAAAACTTTATAAACTTGAATGGTCACTGTCATGTTTTGATAATTTTGAAATGGCTTTCGTGTGTTTGCTGCCACTGGTATCGTGACCAGTGGCTTCAGTTTTACCATATTATAAACTAAAATTTGATAGATTGAGGTAGAGGTAATTAAATATATGGTGTAGTATATTATATGAATTACATTAAAGTTATGCTAATGGGAGGAATTAAGACTTGCCCTTAGGTTTGAACTTTAGGAAGTTGATTATAGAATTAGGTGAGTTTTTGGATATAGGAGGGACATAGAATAATATGAGTGTTTGTAGGCTTGTTAACTTACAAATTATGCATATATACTTGATAGATTGGAAAGGTTCGGAGACATTGAGGAAAGGAAAGGCATTGGAGAAGTAGCTTGCCTGACGTTAGTTCTTCGGTGGAGGTAGGTTATGGTTTGTTCTATTTGATAGATAAACTCTTAATAGCAATTGATATATATTGAATGATATTGTGAAGTTCTCTATGTACTTGACTGTGTGATTACGTGGCTTGGTTGTGTGGTTTGTGATTGGTCTAAAATCCTGAGACCGTGAGATTTATAATCTGAAAACCTCTCTATTGAAGTTATGCCTTGAATAAAGAGGGCTTGATGTAATATTATTAATGAACTGAAAAGTAGTGATAATAAATGATGAACTAATAATATTATTGGATCGGAGTGTCACGTTCCGACACGGTATTTTTGGATCGGAGTGTCACGTCCCGACACGGTATTATTGGATCGGAGTGTCACGTTCCGACACGGTATAATTGGATCGGAGTGTCACGTTCCGACACGGTATAATTGGATCGGAGTGTCACGTTCCGACACGGTAACCTTAAAGGAAAAAGATATTGAATTAACTTAATGTACTCCATCTCAATGAACACATTTCCCAAACGAGTGTGATGTAGAGGCATGAGTTCTCGTGTGTGTACTTGATAGTGTGATTGATTACGTACTTGCTTCAACTGTTACTTGTTCATGTTGTGGTTTCTTATCACCTGCTAAGTGCTATAGTTGACTTTATACTATTATTCATTGTATATTAGTTTCTATTTTGGGTTGGCCGATGATACCTACTCAGTACGTGTTCCTTGTACTGACCCCTACTTGTGTTTTCCTCGTTTTTCTTTTGTGGAGTGCAGCAAGTGTACCATCGACTTCGACTCGCCCTCAGCTCTAACCAGTCTCCAGCACATCAGATTTCAGGGTGAGCTATTCCTTCTAGCTCGTGCTGAATTCTCTCAGTTATGGCGTGATGTCCTTGAATTTTGGACATGGACCATCGTATTTTCTTATTTTGGGGTCTCTAATACTTTTAGACTTGATATGTTAAGAACAGATGTCCTTGATGTGATGACTTTTAGATTTGGGGATAATATGTAAGAGACTTTAGAGGTTTATTTGATTGGTTACATTAATAAGTTTTGGAGCTTCCGCGTTATTGTTGTTAGTCGTAATTAAATTATTGGTATATGTTGGGGTTTAGATTCCTTGGTCCGCCCACTTAGGAGATGAAGTGTGGGTGCCACTCATGACTCAATTTGGGTCGTGACAAACTTGGTATCAGAGCCTTAGGTTCGATGATCTCATCACACAAGGACAGGTCTAGTAGAGTCTTGCGGAACGGTACGGGGACGCTTTTACTTTTCTTCAAGAGGCTATAGGACTTTAGGAAAACTCACATTTTTCTTTCTTTCTGCTATTACTTGAATCCAATTGGTATCTAGGTGATACAAATTGGTATCTGACCTTTTTCACTCTATCTCGCAGATGGTCAGAACTAGAGCAACAGGTGTGACAACACCAACCCCGGCAAGACAGGGTACGCCTGAGCCAACCGTTGGGGCTGCAGCTCGAAGGGGAGCAGTGGCAAGAGGCCGTGGTAGAGGTCGCGGGAGAAGGCCCACTAGAGGCAGAGGACAAACACCTGGTTCAGCTAGGGATAGAGTGGTAACTCATCCACCGACTGACGAGGTAGTGAGAGAGAGTGACGAAGGGGAAGATGAGCAGATTCAAGAGAAGGAAGTACCACCCCAGCCTACTCCAGAGATGATTAATCAGGTTCTCACTTATCTTAGCGGGTTATCCGATCAGGGGCAGGCACCCCCAGCATTTTCTTCACTAGCACCTCAAGTTCAGGGAGTGCAACATGCAGCTGATGTGGCTCCTCGCATGGATGCGTCCTTAGAAACAGACACGTTTCCCCGATTGACTGCAGGGCCTATAATGACTAGTGACCAGCATGATCTCTTTATTAAGTTCTTAAAGCTGAAACCTCCAGTTTTCAAGGGTACTGAATCTGAAGATGCTTATGATTTCCTGGTTGATTGTCATGAGTTGTTACATAAGATGGACATAGTGGAGCGATTCGGTGTTGAGTTTGTGACCTACCAGTTTCAAGGGGATGCCAAAATGTGGTGGCGGTCTCATGTGGAGTGTCGACCAGCAAAGGCACCACCTATGACTTGGACAACATTTTCTAGCTTATTTATGGAGAAGTACATACCCCGGACTTTGAGGGACAGAAGAAGAGATGAGTTCCTGAATATAGAGCAAGGAAGGATGTCTGTTGCAGCTTATGAGGCTAAATTTCGTGCGTTATCCAGGTATGCCACTCAGCTTTGCTTCAGTCTGCAAGAGCGGATTCGCCGCTTTGTAAAGGGATTGAGGTCAGATTTGCAGATCCCAGCTTTACAGGTAGCTGCTTCTGCAAAGTCTTTCCAGGAAGTGATTGATTTTGTGATAGAGGTAGAGGGGGTGAGGCCGGATGACTTCACCAAGGTGTCAACATTTAAAAAGTTTCGTAAGGGAGGTGAGTTTAGTGGTTCGTACTCCAGAGGGCAGAGTTCAGGGGGCTATCCACCTCGTCCTATTCAGTCTTCATTGCAGGCTTCAGTTGAGGGTCCGTTGCGGACCAGTCAACCTTTTTCTGAGTTTGGGGGTTACCTCCAGTCTTCTTCGTCTTCACAAAGACCTACACTCGACTCTAGGACTTGTTATGGATGTGGAGAGGCCGGACATATCAAGAAATATTGTCTAAAGCAGAGTCAGGCTCGGTACGATCAGAGTTACAGATCCCCAGCAGTTAGAGGTAGAGGTGGTCATGGTAGAGGCCGTCATTCTGGAGGACGTGGTGGCCAAGGTAATGGTGGTCACCAGTTCAACCGGGGTGGCGGGCAGGTTGGAACTACTGAAGCGCAGCCCGGTAGAGGCAATAGACAGAACAGGTGATAGGGCCCATTGTTATGCTTTCCCCGGGAGGTCAGAAGCAGAGACATCTGATGCTGTTATCACAGGTACTCTTCTGGTCTGTGATCGCATGGCTTCTATATTGTTTGATCCTGGATCCATATTTTCTTATGTATCTTCCTCGTTCGCTACTGGTCTTGATTTGCATTGTGATTTGCTTGACATGCCTATTCGTGTCTCTACTCCTGTTGGTGAGTCTGTGATAGTGGAAAAAGGTGTATAGGTCTTGCCTTGTGACTTTTGTGGGGGGCGAGACTTATGTAGATCTGATTATTCTAGAGATGGTTGATTTTGATGTAATTTTGGGTATGACTTGGCTTTCTCCAAATTTTGCTATCTTAGATTGTAATGCTAAGACTGTGACCTTGGCCAAGCCTAGGATAGATCCACTAGTGTGGGAGGGTGACTATATTCCCGCCCCAATTCGTATTATCTCTTGTCTTTGTGCTAAGAGGTTGGTTAGTAAGGGTTGTTTAGCTTTCTTGGCACATCTCAGGGATGATACTTCCAAAGTGCCTTCAATCGAGTCTGTTTCGATAGTCCGTGAGTTTACAGATGTTTTTCCTTCCGACCTACCTGGTATGCCACCAGATAGAGATATTGATTTTTGTATTGACTTGGAGCCGGGGACTCGCCCCATTTCTATTCCACCTTATAGAATGGCCCCAGCTGAGTTAAGGGAGCTAAAGGCCCAACTTCAGGAATTGTTAGGTAAAGGTTTTATTAGACCGAGTATATCTCCTTGGGGTGCTCCAGTTTTATTTGTGAAGAAGAAGGATGGTAGTTTTCGGATGTGCATAGACTACAGGCAGCTGAATAAGGTAACTATTAAGAACAAGTACCCCATTCCTCGCATTGACGACTTGTTCGATCAGTTACAGGGTGCTTGTGTCTTCTCTAAAATTGATTTGAGGTCTGGTTATCATCAATTGAAAATGCGGGCAACGGACGTGCCAAAGACTGCTTTTCGAACCAGGTATGGGCATTATGAATTCTTAGTAATGTCATTTGGGCTTACGAATGCCCCTGCTGCTTTCATGAGCCTAATGAACGGAATTTTTAAGCCATATTTAGACCTCTTTGTTATTGTATTCATTGATGATATCCTGATATACTCGAAGAGCAGGAGGGAACACGAGGAGCATTTGAGAATTGTATTGGGGTTGTTGAGGGAGAAAAAGCTTTATGCCAAATTCTCCAAGTGTGAGTTTTGGCTCGATTCAGTGTCCTTCTTGGGGCACGTGGTTTCTAAGGATGGAGTGATGGTGGATCCCTCTAAGATTGAAGCAGTGAAGAGTTGGGTAAGGCCTACTAATGTTTCAGAGGTAAGGAGCTTTGTTGGTTTAGCTAGCTACTACCGCCGATTCGTACAGGGATTCTCTTCCATTGCTTCCCAGTTGACCAATTTGACCAAGCAGAATTTCCATTTGTATGGTCGAATGAGTGTGAAGAAAGCTTCCTGAAACTCAAGACCTTGTTGACTACTGCACCGATTCTTGCCTTGCCCGTGGAAGGTAAGAATTTCATTGTTTATTGTGATGCATCTTATTCTGGTTTGGGTGCAGTGCTAATGCAGGAGAGGAATGTAATTGCTTATGCTTCAAGGCAATTGAAAGTGCATGAACGTAACTATCCAACCCATGATTTGGAGTTGGCTGCAGTTGTATTCGCATTGAAGCAGTGGAGGCATTATCTATATGAGGTCAAGTGTGAAGTGTATACAGATCATCGCAGTTTACAATATGTGTTCACCCAGAAGGATTTAAATTTGAGACAGAGGAGGTGGATGGAGTTATTGAAAGACTATGATATTACTATTTTATATCACCCGGGAAAGGCTAATGTTGTGGCAGATGCCCTAAGTAGAAAAGCAGGGAGCATGGGTAGTTTAGCCCACTTACAGGTTTCTAGACGCCCATTGGCTAGAGAGGTGCAAACTTTGGCTAATGACTTTATGAGGCTGGAAATACTTGAAAAAGGAGGATTTTTGGCCTGTGTGGAGGCAATATCTTCTTTTCTTGACAAAATTAAAGAAAAGCAATTTGAGGATGAGAAGCTGAGTCGAATTCGAGATATGGTGTTGCGGGGAGAGGCTAAGGAGGCTATGATTGATGAGGAAGGTGTCTTGAGAATTAAGGGGCGAGTGTGTGTGCCCCGTGTTGGTGACTTGACTCATACTATTCTTGCAGAGGCTCATAGTTCGAGGTATTCTATACATCCTGGTGCAACCAAGATGTATCGTGATCTGAGACAACATTATTGGTGGAGTAGAATGAAGCGTGACATTGTTAATTTTGTTGCCCAATGTCCAAACTGTCAGCAGGTAAAGTATGAACATCAGAGGCCTGGAGGGACACTTCAGAGAATGCCCATTCCGGATGGAAGTGGGAAAGAATTGCAATGGATTTTGTGGTTGGTCTTCCAAAGACATTGGGTAAGTTTGATTCTATTTGGGTAATTGTTGACAGGTTAACTAAGTCTGCTCACTTCGTTCCGGTTAAGATGACTTACAATGCAGAGAAGTTAGCCAAACTCTATATCCGTGAGATTGTTCGATTGCATGGAGTTCCAATTTCCATCATATCAGATAGAGGTACGCAATTTACTTCTAATTTTTGGAGGACTTTGCATGCTGAATTAGGTACTAGATTGGATCTTAGTACCGCATTTCACCCTCAGACCGATGGACAGTCTGAGCGAACAATTCAAGTGTTGGAGGATATGCTTCGTGCGTGCGTGATAGATTTTGGTGGTCATTGGGATCAATTCTTGCCTTTAGCAGAGTTTTCGTACAACAATAGCTACCACTCGAGTATTGATATGGCCCCATTTGAGGCATTGTATGGGAGGAGATGTAGGTCTCCCATTGGTTGGTTTGATTCATTTGAGGTGAGGCCTTGGGGTACCGATCTCTTGAGGGAATCGTTAGAGAAAGTGAAATTCATTCAGAGAAGCTTTTAGAAGCTCAGAGCAGGCAGAAGGAGTATGCAGATCGGAAGGTTAGGGACTTGGAGTTTATGGAGGGTGAGCAAGTCTTGCTTAAGGTTTCACCCATGAAGGGTGTGATGCGGTTTGGTAAGCGAGGTAAGCTTAGTCCGAGGTACATTGGGCCATTTGAAGTTCTTAAGCGCGTGGGGGAGGTGGCCTATGAATTGGCCTTGCCTCCAGGGTTGTCAGGAGTGCACCCGGTATTTCATGTGTCCATGCTGAAAAAATACCATGGTGATGGAAACTACATTATTCGTTGGGATTCAGTACTGCTTGATGAGAATTTGTCTTATGAGGAGGAGCCTGTAGCTATTATAGATAGGGAGGTTCGCAAGTTGAGGTCAAAAGAGATTGCATCTATCAAGGTTCAGTGGAAAAATCGGCCAGTTGAAGAGTCCACTTGGGAGAGTGAGGCGGATATGCAAGAAAGATATCCACATCTTTTTGTAAATTCAGGTACTCTTTCTTACCTTTGCCTTCTTTTTATCGTTCGAGGACGAACGATGGGTAAATTGGTATCTAATGTAACAACCCATTTTATCATTTTGAGTATTAGAGCTTTTATTGTATAAAATACTCTTCCGATATATTTTAAATGAGTGTTTTGGACTATTCGTAACTACAATTATGATATTAGTGGGGTAGTTTTTATAATTAGGTTACTTGGTGGTTATAGAAGATAGCATTAAAACAAATAGTGGACCACTTCTACCACCCCATATTTAGGCTTAATAATAATTAGGGATTTCCATCGTGAGTTAGAAACTCAACAAAACTTCCACTACAGCGATACAAATTGCAGAGAGGCCGACGAGTACTTCAGGTAAATCCAATATCCAATATGTATTTGGTGAACATGAACAAAGGTTTTATGATTATTATTAGATTATCGTTATTAGACTAGAATTTGAAGAGAACGAGTTCTCAGTGGTAGTATTAGGTTGACTTCTGATGATTAATGGCGATAGGTGGTTGAATTGTGATTAATTTCTGAGTGGTGGTGTAAGGAAATTATGTAGTGCAAGAGTAATAATATGGATTTGTATTTTCATTAAACTGTAAAGGAAATTATGGGTAGTGATTATTGTTGCTTTGTGTTGAATAATTGGGTGAAAACTTCGGTGGAGACAAACTTGTCTCTCTGTTCATTATTTAATTAAATTATTGTTAAGTACTAAAACCATAGATGGCAAATTATTATCTATTGAATTTAGCGAGTGGATTGCAGGCGAAAACTTTATAAACTTGAATGGTCACTGTCATGTTTTGATAATTTTGAAATGGCTTTCGTGTGTTTGCTGCCACTGGTATCGTGACCAGTGGCTTCAGTTTTACCATATTATAAACTAAAATTTGATAGATTGAGGTAGAGGTAATTAAATATATGGTGTAGTATATTATATGAATTACATTAAAGTTATGCTAATGGGAGGAATTAAGACTTGCCCTTAGGTTTGAACTTTAGGAAGTTGATTATAGAATTAGGTGAGTTTTTGGATATAGGAGGGACATAGAATAATATGAGTGTTTGTAGGCTTGTTAACTTACAAATTATGCATATATACTTGATAGATTGGAAAGGTTCGGAGACATTGAGGAAAGGAAAGGCATTGGAGAAGTAGCTTGCCTGACGTTAGTTCTTCGGTGGAGGTAGGTTATGGTTTGTTCTATTTGATAGATAAACTCTTAATAGCAATTGATATATATTGAATGATATTGTGAAGTTCTCTATGTACTTGACTGTGTGATTACGTGGCTTGGTTGTGTGGTTTGTGATTGGTCTAAAATCCTGAGACCGTGAGATTTATAATCTGAAAACCTCTCTATTGAAGTTATGCCTTGAATAAAGAGGGCTTGATGTAATATTATTAATGAACTGAAAAGTAGTGATAATAAATGATGAACTAATAATATTATTGGATCGGAGTGTCACGTTCCGACACGGTATTTTTGGATCGGAGTGTCACGTCCCGACACGGTATTATTGGATCGGAGTGTCACGTTCCGACACGGTATAATTGGATCGGAGTGTCACGTTCCGACACGGTATAATTGGATCGGAGTGTCACGTTCCGACACGGTAACCTTAAAGGAAAAAGATATTGAATTAACTTAATGTACTCCATCTCAATGAACACATTTCCCAAACGAGTGTGATGTAGAGGCATGAGTTCTCGTGTGTGTACTTGATAGTGTGATTGATTACGTACTTGCTTCAACTGTTACTTGTTCATGTTGTGGTTTCTTATCACCTGCTAAGTGCTATAGTTGACTTTATACTATTATTCATTGTATATTAGTTTCTATTTTGGGTTGGCCGATGATACCTACTCAGTACGTGTTCCTTGTACTGACCCCTACTTGTGTTTTCCTCGTTTTTCTTTTGTGGAGTGCAGCAAGTGTACCATCGACTTCGACTCGCCCTCAGCTCTAACCAGTCTCCAGCACATCAGATTTCAGGGTGAGCTATTCCTTCTAGCTCGTGCTGAATTCTCTCAGTTATGGCGTGATGTCCTTGAATTTTGGACATGGACCATCGTATTTTCTTATTTTGGGGTCTCTAATACTTTTAGACTTGATATGTTAAGAACAGATGTCCTTGATGTGATGACTTTTAGATTTTGGGGATAATATGTAAGAGACTTTAGAGGTTTATTTGATTGGTTACATTAATAAGTTTTGGAGCTTCCGCGTTATTGTTGTTAGTCGTAATTAAATTATTGGTATATGTTGGGGTTTAGATTCCTTGGTCCGCCCACTTAGGAGATGAAGTGTGGGTGCCACTCATGACTCAATTTGGGTCGTGACAAACTTGGTATCAGAGCCTTAGGTTCGATGATCTCATCACACAAGGACAGGTCTAGTAGAGTCTTGCGGAACGGTACGGGGACGCTTTTACTTTTCTTCAAGAGGCTATAGGACTTTAGGAAAACTCACATTTTTCTTTCTTTCTGCTATTACTTGAATCCAATTGGTATCTAGGTGATACAAATTGGTATCTGACCTTTTTCACTCTATCTCGCAGATGGTCAGAACTAGAGCAACAGGTGTGACAACACCAACCCCGGCAAGACAGGGTACGCCTGAGCCAACCGTTGGGGCTGCAGCTCGAAGGGGAGCAGTGGCAAGAGGCCGTGGTAGAGGTCGCGGGAGAAGGCCCACTAGAGGCAGAGGACAAACACCTGGTTCAGCTAGGGATAGAGTGGTAACTCATCCACCGACTGACGAGGTAGTGAGAGAGAGTGACGAAGGGGAAGATGAGCAGATTCAAGAGAAGGAAGTACCACCCCAGCCTACTCCAGAGATGATTAATCAGGTTCTCACTTATCTTAGCGGGTTATCCGATCAGGGGCAGGCACCCCCAGCATTTTCTTCACTAGCACCTCAAGTTCAGGGAGTGCAACATGCAGCTGATGTGGCTCCTCGCATGGATGCGTCCTTAGAAACAGACACGTTTCCCCGATTGACTGCAGGG